TGTGTGTCATGATCTCGATCACCCCGGGTTCAACAACACGTAAGACTCACACACACACACACACACACACACACACACACACACACACACACACACACACACACACACACACACACACACACACACACACAATCCTTCTCTCTGCTATGTTTTCTTACTTCTTGTCCCGGATTTCATTCTCTCTCTCTCATTATTTCCTGCCTCCCTCCCTCTCTCACCCTCCCTCTCTCTCTCCCTCCCTCCCCCCTCTCGCCTTCCCTCTGTCTCCTCCCTCCCTCTTACTCTCTCACCCTCCCTCTCTCTCCTTCCCTCTTTTTCCTCTCTCCCTCTTACTCTCTCACCCTCCCTCTCTCTCCCTCTCTCCTTCCCTCTTTCTCCTCTCTCCCTCTTACTCTCTCACCCTCCCTCCCTCCCTCCCTCTCCCTCTCCTCCAGGTATCAAGTAAATGCCAGAACAGACCTGGCAGTCCGCTACAACGACATCTCCCCCCTGGAGAACCATCACTGTGCTGTGGCCTTCCAGATCTTCTCTCAGCCCGACTGCAACATCTTCTCCACGTTTGACCCCGAGTCCTTCAAGCAGATACGACAAGTATGTGTGTGTGTGTGTGTGTGTGTGTGTGTGTGTGTGTGTGTGTGTTTCATGTTGTGCTGTTTTTTAGGGCACCATCACGCTGATCCTGGCCACAGACATGGCCCGACACGGTGAGATCCTGGATTCCTTCAAGCAGAAAGTCGACAATTTCGACTACACAGACGAGGAGCACTCCACCTGTGTAAGAACTCGGATTTGTGAGGACGCCTCACACACCTGCAGCTCAGACACAATTCTAAAGTCACATTGTGGCTTTTTCACTCTTATTTTTAATAACATGCTCGTTTCACTTACAAGAAAATGACCCTGAAGTGCAAACATGAAAATAACACTGACAGGAGCCTTCTGGTGAATTCATCCTGCATCACTACACTACATGGACACACACAGAGTGTGAAGAAGTGAGAAGGGGCCACGTAAGGCCTCTGTGAGTGTCAAGGGAAATTAAGCACAATCTTAGAATCAGAATACCTGTATTCGTCCCACAGACATTTACACACCTGTTTCCAAATATTACAGATGAAATAAAACTGAGAATATATTTATTTGAAATGATCCCCAAACAGTAATCAAACAATAAACGTATAACAATACTGTAAACATGAACTTTGAACATCAACATGTACAACCTCCATTACTGCATGCTAACCAGTCAAACATCAGTGGGACTGCCACTGTGTGATCGACACTGGAGTCACACATGTGATGACGTTAGACTCCACTTGACAGAATAAAAAAGGACTAGCATCTCGGCTTGGACTTTTACACTAATAACTCGTGAATTTACTTGAATTTGGCCCTTTTCACTGGAAAATTCCCCCAAGCCTTAAAATAAAAAGCATGTTGTCCACAATGTGTGCCACAAATTATTTCATTTGCTGACATTATCTAACATTACTGCTATTAATTCCAAGTCAACAGTTAAATTCCCACATGATCAGCCAACAGTATACAGTATTACTCTTTTGTCAAACTGCCATAGCATGTGGTGAAGAGCACGTTAGGACTTGGGTAGGATTTAAACTTAGGATCTGGCACTTAACTTCGGACTTGATTTCAAATACTTACCTGACTTGGTCTCAACTCTGCTATACTGTATGTGCTCTTTGTTGTCATCACTTAAAGTGGACCTATCAAGCTATATTCGAATAATATATTGTAGGGCCATACCTATATAAAACATGTCTGTGAAGTTTTTTTTTCAAAATACCAAACAGATCATGCATTTTAGCCATGCCTCATTTCGCTCTATTTGCTCTTTCCAGCCCTGTCTTCACAAGGGCTGATTCTGTGGCAAATGAGCTGCAGCTGACCACGCCCCCCTGC